ACACACTTTCCATGGCCTTGCTGATTTCACCTCCTGTGATACTCTTATTTACTCCTTATACACCAACTATACTGATAATTGTTTAATTTCATACAAACCTCACAAATAATTCAGCCAAGATATTTGCATGTTCTGGCCCCTTCCTGCTACTCCTTGTCAACTATCCACCTTGCTGGCTTTTCTACTTTTTCCACATTTCTGCTGAAAATTCATCTTATCAGAGAGACTTTCTATGGCCTCCCTCTCTAAAAGAGTCCCTCTTTCTGTGTACTCTGTTTAAGTTTTCTCCTTAGCACCGAAGTCATTCAACATATTCTCCTTTCACCTGTAATATCTGGGTTCATTCTGTAAGCTCTGTAGTAGAGTATAAGCTCTGGGAGAGCAGGAACTTGGGTTCTCTGCAGTAATTTCAATGTATGCAGCAATGCATAGAGTATATACGTATATTGGGTTTATATTTGGTGAGTGAACTTAATATGTAGTAGATGTTCTCAGAAATACTATGTGCCCATGTTATATTAGGACTCATAGATATTTATGGCAGTACTAAGGAGCTCTGGTAGTGTAGTGGTTACGAATTGGGCTGCTAATCTCAAGGTCAGCAGTTTGAAACTATAAGCTGTTCCACAGGAGAAAGATGAGGCTTTCTGCTCCCGTAAAGATTTACAGCCTCAGAAACCCTGTACAGGGTCCTTATGAGTTGGAACAGACTCAGCAGCACTTAACAACAACACTGGATGGTTTCAGACACAGTCCTCTAAAGTTATTGTGCTGTGAATATGTACATTAAGGAAGCTGACAAGTTAAAATATAGCCCTTAGTTGCCAATGAGGATTTCCACCTACCCCTGTTCTCTTTACACATGCGTAGACTTTTTAGCACAATGATTAAAGTCCTGGATTACTACCTAAAGGACAGCCATCCAAACCCACCAGCTGCTCTGTGGAAGACAGATGTGTCAGTCTGCTTTTAGAAAGATTTGCAGCCTTGGGAATCTTGTAAGGTAGCTCTACTCTCTGGTAGCATAGTGGTTATGAATCGGGCTGCTAACCTCAGGATCAGCAATTTGAAAATACCAGCTGTTCAGCAGGAGAAAAATGGGGCTTTCTGCTCCCATAAAGATTTACAGACTCGGAAACCCTGTACAGGTTCGGTATGAGTCAGAAGCCACTCCATGGCACCTAACAAAAACAACTCAACAGCAGCTCTCTGGTAGTGTAGTGGTTACAAAGGGCTGCTAACCACAGGGTCAGCAATTCGAAACTACCAGGTATTCTGCGGGAGAAAGATGAGGCTTTTGGCTCCTGTAAAATTTACAGCCTCGGAAACCCTGGGTAGGGTGACTATGATTTGGAACCAATTTCACGGTACTTAACAACAACAGCTGTGTCCCATAGGGTTTTTATAAGCTGGGATTGACTTGATGGCAATAGTCATTATTTGATTATTGTCCTTGTTGTTACTGTTTGCATTATTACTAACAATCTAATTGTAAAACTCTATTCAGTAGAATCAAGTGATTAAATCTTAAGATTAAAAAGCCCTTTAAAGGTCTTGCACAACTATCTTCTTAAAGAGTTTGCCAATTGATGATAGGATTAGTTTTATGAGAGCACTATAAACTCAAGTTCTGATTTGGATATGGGAAAGGAAGGCATGCAATAAATAACCATGGAATATTTTGGTAAATTGGTTCACTGCGTGCAGAGGAAAACTGCAGTATTGCATGTTAGAGAATGAATGAGTGGCAAATGGTACTAAAGAAACTTCCATACTTCTTCCTAAGAAGGCATCTGTTTATGGAACCTGAATTAGAATTCCCTATATTTTTTTCCATTCTTTTAACTTTTCTTGTTTAACAGCTTTACATGTAAATTACACTCGTGCTACATACAATACAAATTACATTTACAATGGCACTTCTCAAAGTACAAAACTGACTAGTAGTAAATATATATTGCCCATTGAAAACAACAAAATAAAACTGATAAGGAGGGAACAAATCACTGGTTGCTGTCAAATCAACTCCAACACATGGTGACCCCATGTATGTCAGAGTAGAGTTGTGTGTTTTTGTTGTTGTTGTTAATTGCCATTTACTTGGTTCCAAATCAGTGACCCTTTATAAGGTTTCCAAGGCTGCAAATCTTTGTGGCTATAGAAAACCTTATCTTTTCCCCCCACAAAGCAGCTTGTCTACTTTGTCTGGAACTGCCAACCTTGTGGTTAACAAGGTTGTGGTTATCAAACCAAAGTACTCCCCAGAGAGTTTTTATTGCATGGTTTTTAGGAAGTAGATCACCAGGCCTTTCTTTACATCTGAGTGGACTTGAATCTCCAAGTTTTTTGGTTAGCAGCCAACTGTATTAACCAATTGTACCAGCCAGGGTCTCTCTCTGTCTCTCTCTGTGTCTGTCTCTCTGTCTGTCTCTGTCTCTCTCTGTTTCTCTTTATATGTATGTGTGTGTGTGTGTATACACACATACATATATACACAAACACACACATACATATAAATAGATATAAATATAGATATCCACACACACATATGGTTGCTAAGTGTCATAGAGTAGGTTGCAACTCACAGCAACTCTGTGGTTTCAGAGGAACAACTAGTAGGTATGAACCAGTTACTTTGAGGTTAGCAGTCCAGTCCTTATCCTACAGTGCCACACCAGGACTCCATATACATATATTGTTGTTGTTGTTAAGTACCAGAGTAACCCTGCTCTGGGTATCCGTGGCTGTAAATCTTTACAGGAGCAGAAAGCCTCATCTTTCTCCCGAGGAACAGCTCGTAGTTTTGAACAGCTGACCTTGTGGTTAACAGCCCAATTTGTAACCATTATGCTACCAGAGCTCCTTCTTTCTCTCTGTCTCTCTTTGTCTCTCTCTCTCGATAGATAGATAGATAGATAGATAGATAGATAGATAGATAGATGTTACATATATTATGTGTATGTAACTGAATATATCAGACTTCCATTTTATAAATGAGTTTTTAGGGGCAGAAATCTTTGTTTAATTTGTTTATGTTGTACAAATATAAGAATACTTCTAAATTCTCTTAATGAGCTCAGAATACTGACATAAAATTGCCAAACATCTTTACAATGTTTATATAATGAAAATATAGTATCAGTCCTGTTTTTATGATTATCAGTGTGGCACCACTAATAACACATTCATATCCCCAATGAATCTTTTATGTGTCTATAAATATCAACTCCAAGAGTTTGTCTCATTCATAATTATCATTTGAAATTTATGATCAGCATTTTCTAATTTTTTAAACTGTGAATATTAAAAATGTCTATCATATTTAGAATTAGCCTCTACTAGTGTTGACATTTAAGGAGCTCTGGTAGTGTAGTGGTTATGAGTAGGGATGGTAACATCAAGGTCAGCAGTTCGAAACTAGCAGCTGTTCCATAGGATAAAGATGAGGCTTTTGCTCCTGTAATGATTTACAGCCTCAGAAACCCTATGCAGGGTCGATATGAGTCAGAACTGACTCCACAGCATACTACCACCACCACCAGAGTTCAAATTTAGGAAATATAATCTTTCATACACTTCATACAGAACTAAGTCATATATTTCCTTGTCAGCTTCAACCACAATGGTGAAGCCTGACATCCATTAATAATTGACAAATTTGGCAATGTATTAATCAATGATGATAGTTAAATATATATTCAACATTGTGGTGTTCTAAGATAAGCACCGGACTGTTAACCACAAGATTGACATTTCAAACCCACCAGCTACTCCTTGGAAATCCTGTACAGGGTCGCTATGAGTCAGAGCTAACTCGATGGCACTTAAGAACTGCAACATGTACACTTATTTGTTTTTCTTTAGGTTTGTACCTATAAGACTATATTAAAACAAAGGTTTTTAAATAACTTTAAAAAAACCTATCTATAATTAAGTATTTTGGAAAACAAATAGTAAGAGAAAAATTACTATTCCTGAAATTATAGCTCGGATCAGCTATATGTATGGTGTGCCTATGTAAGTAATCTGTCCATTTATTATGCAAATATACTCTCCTGATGTGGAGCTATTGGGTAAGCATTGGACTACTAACCACCAGGTCTGTGATTCAAACCCACCAGCTGCTCCTTGGAAATTCTATGTAGGGTCACTATGAGTTGAAACCAACTCAACAGCACTTGACAACAACAACATATACTGTAGTGGCTTGCACATGGCGATGATAACGGGGTATATGCCATCAGTATTTCAAATACTATTCTGGGCAGATTTCAGCAGTTTTCAAAAATCATGGTCTAGGAAAAAGGTCTGGTAATCTAGTTTAGAAAATTAGCAATGAAACCAAATGGATTACAACAGAATGTTAGCCAATGAATGCTGCTAAATTAACCCAAACAAATCAACAATTTTGAAGATAGTGTAAAACTGGACAGCATTTCATATCTGTTTCATCACAATGACTTAGAACCAACTCAACAGCATCTAAAAACAGTGACAACGTTGTTGTTGTTGTTGTTATGTGCTTTGGAGTCGGTTCCGACTCACAGCAACCCTGTACAGGGTTTCCAAGGCTGCAGATCTTTACAGGAGCAGAATGCCTCATCTTTCTCCCGCAGAACAGCTGGTAGTTTCCAACTGCTGATCGTGAGATTAGCAGCCCGATTCGTAACCACTCTGCTACCAGAAGTCCAATAATAGGTGGTGGTTTTTCAGGATTCAGCATGTGTTAAGGAGGTTTCTCTGAGAATCTGTTGTTTTCAGATTCAAGCAATCATCTGGAGAAGTAGAAACTCACTTTCAAACACTTGAACCCACCAAACAGTATTAAACTGATGATGCTTTTAGATACTCTGCCCTTACTTTATAATATTTCTTTCTCCCATCTTGTATTTCAAACCAACCACCTGATTTTATCCACTAGGCAAAGTGATCAAATCTTCTACCCATTCCCAAAATGAAATTCAAATTTAACACCTAACAATCTGCTTCTTCTTTTCCAGATTCCTGTCTTGGTCACACAGATAAGTGCCACCAATCACCCAGTGAAAGTGGGGCTGTCTGATGCATTTGTCGTTGTCCACAGGATCCAGCAAATTCCCAGTATGTAGAAGAAGGGTATTCGCAAAGTGTGAGCCTTCTGTGGGGGTAAATTTAAGGAGATTAATCTTGGGCAGTTGTAACTCTTTGAACAAAAGATACACTTTACACTAATTGCGGCTTGCTGATGATATTGTCCTGGTGTGGCTGTGAGGGTGTGTTTGTTCATATATTTCCCATATGTGGTCATTTTAAGCAAGGGTTGGTAGATAATAAAATGCATCTCAAGATTACATCATTTCTTTCCCTTTCTCAGTTCTTTTTTTTCTTTTATTTCTTGATGATGATAGATTTCAAATATCACATGCATATGCTCTTTGGCCTTGACTTGAACTAATAGTGTTTAATTATGTCATCTCTCAAATGCACCAAGTAAATGGTGTGGAAATTATTTAGATTTTTTAAAGGCAATTGAATGGTTGGAAACATTATAGGAGTTATACTAAAACTATTTTAAGAATGAAATACAGGTGTGTTAGTCTCCTGAAGGAAGAATATGTATCTTCCATGGGGCTTCTGTTTGTTAGCACAAAATTTATGGGAGGTAATATTTAAGGGACCTGTTAAATCAAGGCAGATTTTCCTGAAACTAAATTGCACTGTTTACAAAGCCAAGATATAATAATATGTTGAGGCATCCTGACAGAACTGTTAAATAAGAGACTGTGCTCTGGGAGAACCAAAGTTCATTCAGAGATTTTTAAATCAAGAATGACTTGAGTCGATTATTGTAACAGTAAAAGTAAATGCTAGTTTCAGTTCTTTTTTTTTTCATTTCTGTAGGCATTTTATTCATGGCTTGCTCAGAAGACATCTTGACCCACATTGTAGTTTTGATATATTATTTTTTAGTGAATTTGTGGTTGTTTTTAAGCGTCGTGGAGTCGTTTCTGACTATAGTGATCCTGTATAGTATTTCTGAGGAGCAGCTGGTGGGTTTGAACCCCTAACCTTATGGTTTGAAGTCCTGACCTTGAGATCAACCTGACTCATAATCCCGATGCTACTAGAGCTCCTTGTTTAGTGAATAGACCTACCAAATATATTTTTTACTATGAAGAGACCTTGTGATGCTGTGATCAAAGATTTGACTGTTAACTGAAAATATGGCATCTAGAACCCACCAGCTGCTCTGCTGGAGAAAAATGTGGTTGTCTGATGCTGCAAAGGTTACACAGCCTTCAGAACCCTATAAGCAGTTTTACTGTGCTGCTGTAGGATAAGCCCTAGACCTCAAGGTCTATTTGAACTGCAAGGTGATGCTTCAAACCCACCAGCCTCTCCTCAAAAACCCTATACAGAGTTGCTATGAGTTGGAATCAACTTGATTGCACTTCGTAATAACAAATGGACTGTTAATCACAAGATCA